TACCCTGTCTGAGTGCACCTTGTTCTGACTAGTCCCAGAGCTGGTAACAGGATTCAGCCTGCAGGGCTCCTAGTTAACTTCCAGGACTAGTTTCGTGGATGTGGAAGCAAGGAGGCAAGGACATCATTACGTGAGCTCTACCCAATGTGGGGTGTAGGTTTTACTGTTACTCATTTCAGTCACTACTCATTTGTTTCTACATGGTGGGTACTCTCCTTTTTGAGAAGCCAGAAATCAGTGAAAAGATATGGTTGGCTTTGACTTTAGAGCTCAGTTAAGTTATGGGTCTGTTGTTTACTAGCTTTGGGACATTAAACAACTTTTTAAACTCTCCGCCCAACTTCCTCATTGGTAAAATAAGCAAAACGATAGTTTTTTTCATAGGATTGTTCAAAGATTAAGTGAAAAAAACTTACATAAAGATCTTGAAACATAATAAATATGTACCAACTCGGCTGTTACCTTTTTTGTTTTATGGACAGGGATTTTAAAAATCTAGCTTAATTAGCAAACTCTCTGAGTAAAAAGAGCAGTTTCTTAAAATACCTTTCCCTTTTCTTCCTCATATGATTCAACTGAATTTCAGGTTTTTTTTTTTTTAAGATTTTATTTATCTATTTGAGAGAGCGTGAGCGCACAGGTGCCTGAGCAGGGAGAGGAGCCAAGGGAGAAGGAGAGAAAGAATCTCAAGCAGACTCCACGCTGAGTGCAGAGCCCAACATGGGGCTTGATCTCACAACCCGGAGATCACGACCTGAGCTAAAATCAAGAGTCCCACACTTAATCGACTGAGCCACCCAGGCACCCCAGAATTTTAGTTTTGAGAGTACCTCTTCCCAAAAAAATGTCATCTTCCTTTTTCAACATTTTAAACAAGGGATTGCTCTAAACTTTTCTTTAATTTTTCTTTTTTACTCTCCTTTCTAAAAGTCTCAGTCACATGTGTGACTCAGCAAAACAGTTACTAGCAATACAAGATAATGTAGACATTGTTGAGATTCCTACTCGCATTCCACCCGATAAGAAGAGTACCATTTTTTTTATTCATCTGTTTTAGGAGAGGCCATCCACTGTAGGCCCTGAGCATCCCTTCATGTCATTGTTGGGTATGCCAAGAAGGCAAGGCCCTGACTTGCTCTTTACTCAGGTTATTTCTCCCGGTTGCTTTGAGGGATGAGACATTGTCTCTGTCTGGGACAAAAAAGCAAGGTTGATTACTGCTTGCTATAAAAGGACAGGGTTCCCTGGGGTGCCTGGGTGGCTCAGTCGCCTAAGTATCCAACTCTTGATTTCAGCACAGGTTATGATCTCAGAGTTGTGAGATGGAGCCCCATATCGGGCTCCACGCTGGGCGTGGAGTCTGCTTAAGATTCTCTCTCTCTCCCTTTCTGCCCCTCCCCTCCTTTAAAAAAAAATGGACAGGTTCCCTAAATTTAGTGCTCTTCAGCTATGAAGCTAATCCACGTGTGTGGGCCATTCATTTATCCCCATGCCATGCCCCCATGGAGACTTGGAGACAAGGGGGACCAACACAAACATGTTGAAGTTCATGTTGCTTCCAATGTCATGACTAATAAAATCCTTTGTCTCTGACTTGGAGGTTGCATATATTCTATCAGCATCCATGAAATAGCAACAGGTTAACTTCTCATAAAAATCCAATTCCAGATCCATGAAGACTATCTATGAAACAACTTACAAAGTTCTTAAGTATTCTGTATTTAAAGAATTTCCAGTGGTATCTCTAGCTGGAACTGAGCTTCTAATGGTTCATCTCTGTTCATGTCAGCAGGAAAGAAAAACAAGAGAAGGCTTAGGGAGTTGGTAACTCTCCCAGGTCCCTGCAATTCTCATAGAAAGTGCTTGGTATATATGCAAGAGTGAGAAACGTGTCCCATTCTCACCCTTAAATTACAGTTAGTTTTGCAAGATGCTTCATAAGCTGACACTGCCTATCTTTGTCACAGTACCTGTGGCCACCACTCTCCTCCCTGTATTTGCTCTTCCTCCGGCGTCACTTTCTACAACTTGGAAACTTTTAATTTCCTGAATACCGCATGATGTTTTATGCTTCCTTATCACTGTACCCTTGCTCCCCAGCCCACCCTGTCTGGCTGGAAAATCCTATTCATCTTTCTAGATCTTGTAAAATATCAACTACTTTTCTGAAATTTCAAGCAGACAATTGTTCATCTCTTGCTATAGAGTTTTATCAAGTATATTCTTCACTTACAAACACATTCCAGTTCTGTAATCCCTTGTGCCTCTCTCCCCAATGCTCTATGAACTCCTTGAGAAAAGGACCTGGATCTTATCCACCTTTGCATTCAAGGAAGCAAGAATAATGTCTGGCATGTAGTAGTGCTTACTAAATATTTACTGAACTAAACTAAAATTTTGTCCTAGTACTAATCATAGGAATTCACTTTTAGGTAAAACAACTTTCATATTTTTATCCTCCAACTCATTTATTAAAAATACTGACTTGGGTGGTTGCTTTAGGTGTCATATAACTTACCAGAGCACCACTGCTGAGCAGGATCATGAGAACAATAAAGCTTTCAAACCAACTGTGTTCAACTATCCTGTAGCAGGTTTTCCTGATGTTCCACCAGATTTTTCCTTTCCCTGACTCCATGTCAACTTGGCAGCATGGGAACCTCCGCACACAACCTGACAAGAGAGATATACATATAAAATATTGATATTCAGAATAAATAAAATACTTATGCAAAGCTTTCCCTGTGATGTCCCTCAACTGAATAACTTCTAACACTTACACTGCAGCTTGTCAATTATTTCTAACTTAAAATGCATTCTGTGCTTCCTTGATTTCTCATCAATCTCTTCCTAAGTGTTAAAACTACTTATTTTTTTCATTATTGCAGTCCTAACGCTGTGCTGATACATGATGAACATGGAATGAATGAATATTAAACTAAGATCTGAGGACAAAATGCTTTTCAAGATCTTCTTTGCTGATAAATTAATTTTCCTTGATGTGGATCTCACCTACAGTTTCCTGATGCTTCCACTGTATTAAAAAAAAAAAAAAAGCTCTTCACAAAGCTTCAATTCTAGATAATATTAAGAAAATTGGTAGAAGTTTCTAAAATTATGTTCAAAAGAATTTGATCTTGATTAGAAGATGCAGGTAAAACAGTTTTACCTTGAAACAGGTAAAACTGTTTCAAGTACTCTATGTTAAAAACAACTCTACCTTTGGAACTGTAGGTGTAAATAAAACATGCTGCTATGATAAATTGAGGAACATTTTATTTACATTTTAGGTTTATTCATTCATTTCTCCATTAAACATTTATTATATTTTATATACTTAGCTGTGTATATAGTTTCCTCTCCTCGGGGGATTTATTTTTGGTTTTGGTTAGGTAGATAGAGATAGAAATAAATGACTATAACTGGATATGTCAACTAAAATCACATATATAAAGGGGTTATTTTGGAGCATGGAAAAAATCTACCTCACCTGGCTTGTTTGCTGAGGACAGACTGGAAGAGGCTTTGTGGAAGAACTGGAGCCTGAACTGAGTCAAAGTCTTAGCCAAAAAGAGTATGGGTGTTATTCTAGGCCAAGGAGGAGCAAGAGGTATTGTGCATAGGAATTATAAGCAGTTCAGAATTGTGACGAAAGCGAAGTGTACAGAGGCATGGGGGAGAAATGAGGTTAGAGAAATTGGTCAGATTATGGAAAGCATTTTCCTCCACACGAAGGAGTTTGGTCTATATCCTATAGATGTTCAGGAATAAGTGAAGGGTTGTTAGCAGAGAATGATACAGGCAGATGCAACTTAAGTTGATGTCTCCAACAGTTGAAGATAAGTTGGAAGAGAAGAAAAAAGAGGGTTAAGGTGTAGGAAGATTCAGAGCCAGAAAACCATTTAGGATTCTGGTTCAGTAGCCTTAACAAGAGGGATAGGTCATGGCAACTCTAGTTAGGAACTATAACCAGGGCTTGATGATTTTCTAGAGTAAACTTAACAAGTAATGCAGGAAATGTTAATAAAATATATAAAACAGTAAAAGTGTCATATTTGTAGCCATGACGCTGGGAATAGCAGAAAATTTTGAGGAAGTATTCTTTCATTATTCAAATTCTATTATCTGAGATTTGCAGACATCATTGATGAGAGTGAAGTTCTGACATATAGTTTCTTTGTCTCACTTTAACCTTACTGATCAACAGAAATGAAATTACCAACCACCCTTCAGGTTAAATCTATACATGCTCATCAACTGCAATCATTGACTATCTATAAATGCAAAATTTTGGTAAAATTTAACAAAAGCATTGTGTGAGAATCAATGAGTTATATGGAATGTGCAATAACAAATATTGCTTAAATTATTATTTGTAAATCATGTGCTACACACCCTTTATATCAGTAAAGTTTATAGTAAACTGAGGTACATATGCACACTCTCTTTTTCTTGGAGAACTGGTTGTTAAACATTCACCTGTACACCACCAGGACAGGTGGAATAAGAGAAAACCTTTGAAGGGGACGGAGACAGAGTCGAAGTAGGAGAGATGTACAAGGAGCTACAGTAAAGAAAGTCAGGGAGTAAAAAGTTTCATAAAGGGCTGGTGAACAGAACCGTGACCAAGAAAGACCCAGAAAGATAATGACTGAAATTTCAAAAATTAAATTTCAAAAATTAAAGTTGATTTAAAAAAAAACCCAACCATAATTTACTGTGAAGAAGAGGAAGCACTGAAAAAAGAGAAACTACAATTAGTTGATCTCTTAAAAATTTTCCTTTCAGAACCACTGCGTACTGTTCGTGGGAATGGAAACTGGTGCAGCCTCTGTAGAAAACAATATGGAGGTTCCTCAAAAAGTTAAAAATAAATACCATATGATCCACTAATTCCACTACTGGGTACTTACCCAAAGAAAATGAAAACACTAATTTGAAAAGTTACATGCACACCTATGTTTATTGCAGCATTATTTACAATAGCCAAGTTCATTGATAGATGACTGGATAAAGAAGATACGGTATGTATATACCCCATGGGTTCTTACTCTACCATAAAAAAGAATGAGATCTTGCCATTTGTGACAATATGGATAGATCTAGAGGGCATTCTGCTAAGTGAAATAGAGAAAAACAAATACCATATGATTTCACTTACATGTGTAATCTAAAAAACAAATGAATAAATAAACATAGAAAAAGCAGAAACAGACCCATAAATACAGAGAACAAACTGACGGTTGCCAGTGGTGGAGAATGAGGGGATGGGCAAAGCAGGTGAAGGGAAGTGGGAGGTACAGGCTTCCACTTAGGAATTAGTCACAAAGCACAGGGAATACAGTCAATGATATTGCACACAAGAGCACTGTATGGTGGCAGATGGCAGCTACACTTGCGGTGAGCAGAGCATAACATACAGACTTGTCAAATCACTGTGTTGTACATCTGAAACTAATACAACATTTTGTGTCAACTACACTTCAATAAAAAAGAAATCACTGAAAAAAAAAAGTTTTTCCTTCCAATTAGAAGGAAGGTAAAAAGGGGGGAGAGCACTTTTTAGATACTGGTTTCAGAGGTTTGCAAGGTAGGCATTGTAAAAAATAATTTCCTTTTTTATAAAACAACATATTTAATTAAAAAATATTGAGTTTATCAAGTAATAACTTCAGAGAATCATAAAGTGTATGCCTTGAAACACAGAACCAGAATTCTTTTGAACTATACTGTTTAGGCAGTATCTTATTATGGTTTCTTTCATGATTCTAAAATGAAATTAGTTCATTGACCCAGGTAATATGAGGTGTACCTGGCACTTTAATTTCCAGCACTATAGGAATGTACCAAGCTATGTTTCCCACCGCCTCCCCCTGCACCAAAGTCTCTGGTGTTTTTGCTATTGTGTATATTTTATGTGTTCCTGTCCTTTCTGGAAGCTTTTAAGCTCCCAGAGGGCTAAAACTGCATCAGTTATGCCCTTTGTTTCTGCTCACGGTACTTACTATAGTCCTCTACATATATAGTTTAATGGGTCATATATAGTTGACTTAAAAGACGTAATTCCCCCCCCAAAATATTCTAAAATAATCCAACCATTAGTAATGATCTGAAAATTCTAGAATTTACAAAAAGATTGGATGAAAAAAAAAAACAAAAACAAACCCAGGGTGAATAGAAAATATACATATGCCTTCATTTAACCAACGTTATAGTCAACATGACCTCAGATCTGAATGAATTCACCTTCACATTATCTAAAACATTTACCTTACATCTCAAATGTATTTAATAAAGTTAGAATATTTTATAAAATGATGTGGGAAAATAGTAAAAAGGTAGGCCCCAAAATGGACTCCCAGATTATCTCTTCCGGGGCAAAAGAAAACACCAGAAGGAGTGAAAAAAATTTTAAGATGGAATTATTTTTTTTTTTATATTAACTTAATGCTTGAGACTTAAGAATTTATCTCAATATAAAAACAAACATCTTGTGCAGAACAGAATCGATCTGCCTCAAGTATAATTGCCAGAGGAGAAAGTTTCCCTTTAAGATTTTACTATCCGAGATTTATTTGTGTCAGTCTTAAAACTGAAGAGAAATATTACTCATAAGATTGAGGTAAGAAAAGGGACCCTACATTCTAATTACAAAAGTAAACTTTTTATCTGAGATGAAGGTTGATAAATATTGCCCTCGGGATTTATCACATCTCAGAGAGTTTCTCACTCTTATTTTGAGGCAAGAGTGTTCGAGTGCTTGTCTGGCTTTTATGCAAAGGCATATCCTAAGAGATTTCGAACCTAGCTGGTTAGCAATGTTATCACATCTTCTTTTTTAAAAGGACTATTAATTAAATGTAAACATAACAGAAGAACCTCTCAAGCATTTTAATGGGTCCCTATGGGGTAAAAGTTCTTTCTTTTGGGTGGTTTCATTAATTTGTTCTCATGATGCATTTCATAAAGTCTATACTGTGTTTCATCATGTTAAACCAGTGCTCCCAGCCCCCACCGCACAAAAAAACTAACCAACATCAACCTCTTCCAAGACAGACTACCTATTAATACAAATATAATAGCATAATCAGTATAATTAACGTAAAAATTGATAGGAAAAATGAGTTTTTTGATAACTTCTTAAAATTTCTAAATCTTTTAAAACAAGTGTTTTGTCCACATTTTCTTTAAAAAAAAAAAGTAGGCACAAGTGAGTTGTTACTGTGTTCTTAAAGTTAGAATTAGTTATTATTTTATAGGAAATTGAATTCAGAACATTTTGGGGGGAAGCTGAGTTGGTTCCTCCTACCAAATTAACAGAAAATACATTATTTTATGGAAAAGAGAGTATCCTTCTCATAACTTAATCCTGATTTTATAATTTACTGATTGTACAATCCAAAAGGAGTATAATGTAAAACCAAGCAGAATCAGAGTTCTGTCATGTCAAGTTGTCATGACACGCAGAAGTAAGGCTAGTGAAGAACAGTGGCAGATCTAGAGAAGGAGCCTGGTATCTTGAATTACAAAGCTAATGGAACAGAACTAAGGAAAGGCCTGGCATAAGAGAGAGGAGGAAAGGATGCAGGAGAAATATGAAAATTAGTAAAGTGATAGTTATGAAGTTGAAAAGGATTAACGGATGTGAGACAATGAACAACAAATCATTTTGGTGTCTGTTCTTCAGTGAAAACACAACCCCTCTGATGTAACTCTCACACTCCCTATGATTTTTCTGCTGCCTTTCAGGTAACAAAAATCTTTGGAGGCCAAGTGCTGCTCTAAACTGGCATTGGTTCTAGCTCGGCTCTTATAGACCTATCACAAACTGGTAAGAGTCATTTCTAATGTAAGTGAATGAGTTCTCAATTTCCCATCCTGCCAAGCTCAATCATTTTGAAGTCATTATGAGGAAGACACCTCCCAGTTTGAGACCCCAACTTTGGAATCGTTGTTGACTCTTTTTTCACATTTTCACATTGGAACCAACATCCAATCTATCAGCAAATTCTTTTAGCTTTCATTTCAAAATCTACTCAGAATCTCTTCCTTTCACCTGGATTACTGCAGGAACATCCAAGAATTCACCCAGCATCTGTCCTTGCTATCCACCCATTTACTCTTTTTTTTTTTTTTGGATTTTATTAATTTTTTTTAGTTTTTTATTGTTATGTTAATCACCATACATTACATCTTTAGTTCTTGATGTAGTGTTCCATGATTCATTGTTTGTGCATAACACCCAGTGCTCCACGCAGAACGTGCCCTCCTTAATACCCATCACCACACCCATTTACTCTTAAGATGGCATGTTGTGAGACTTTTACAGGAGGTCTTTATAATGTCCTTAAAAGTGCTTATGTTCTGGCCTTTACTACATCCCTGACCTCACCTTCTACCACGCTTCCCATCATTCTCAATCTCCATACTGGCCCCTTGACTTTCCTCAAATATTGTGCTGCCTAAAATACTCTTCCTTCATACATTTGCACAGCCCACTTCAATTTTCTTCAGGTCTCTGATCAAATGCTACCTTTTTGGAGAGGCCTTCCTGACCACTCTATTTATGTGATAGTAGGTTCCTACCCTTCAACTATTATATTCCTCTTTTCTTTTCACTTCTCCAAAGCATGTAACACTTATCTGACCTACTAACTATTTACATATGTATTTGAGCAAGGGGCAGTGTTTTTTTCATTGCTCTATCTCTCTCCGGTACTCAGGCCTAGGCCTAAAATACAGAAGATCTTTAATGATTATTTGTTAGTTGGATGAAAGAATGATTATGTGGATAAATGGTGAGAGGCTCAGCAAATTGGCTGTCCTGTTTGATTTATCAGGCTGAGCCTCTCAGCCCAGCAGGTCTAGTGAGTACAAAGTTCCCAGTGGAGCACAGCTGCTCAAAGTGATAGGACTCACAGATGTGTGTTTCCTCATAAATTTTCTTGTCTTTTAAAAAAAAATATGTATTTGTTGATTTAAATTTTTACTGAGGTAGAACATACATTTAGTAGAGTACACTAGTTATAAAGATACAGATTGATATACTCATATAATAGTCACGTAGCTCATGATAAAACATTTTAAGCACCCAGAAAGCACCCCCATGTCCTTTCCCAATCTGTACCCTCTAGAAGTAGCTACTGGCCTGACTTCTATTTTTGTAGGTTGATTTTGCACATTCTTTCTCCACATCCCCAGCTTTACTGAGGTATAACTGACAATTAAAAATTGTATATGTTTTAGGTATACAAATTGGTGATTTGATATTAAGTGTACATTATAAAATAATCACCACAATCAAGCTAATTAACAGCCCGTCTTCTCACACGGTTACCAATTTCTCCCCTGTGCGTGTGGTGAGAACATTTGAGACCTACCCTCTTAGCAGATCTCAAGTATACAATACAGTATTGTTAAGTATAGTCACACTGGCATACATTGGCTCTTCAGAATGTATTTACCTTGTGTAACTGAAAATGAATTTTTTTTTAAAGATTTTATTTATTTATTTCAGAGAAAGAGAGAATGAGAGATAGAGAGCACGAGAGGGAAGAGGGTCAGAGGGAGAAGCAGACTCCCCGCTGAGCAGGGAGCCCGATGTGGGACTTGATCCCGGGACTCCAGGATCATGACCTGAGCCGAAGGCAGTCGCTTAACCAACTGAGCCACCCAGGCACCCACTGAAAATGAATTTTGGTCCTCAGTAAATTTCCAGCAGTCAAGGCCAAACACATCTGAAAATGTGTTTTTATAATATCTCCTAGACACTAGACTCAATTTAGAAGTTACGCATAACCTCAAAGGAATCACATGAATATTCGCATTAGTGCTTTGTAGGACTAACATAAACTTTTTATGTAGTTTAAGCTCAATAAGATAGCACTTGCAGAATGAAATAGCTTAGTGTTAATGCTTTCTGTAGAAGGTTTAAGTTTTTCTAAACCCCTTTTCTAATTTGAAGTCATAATCTGCTTGATAAACCCAACTTCCTTCTAGTTATCCTAGAATTTTAAGTTAGGGTCATTCATAAAATGGGTAGAGGAAATGTTGGTAGCATCTTTACAGATTTAATGGTGTTAATTTATTGAGAAATAGGCAACACCTGATGAAATTCTTAAATGCCCTTAATATGAACACTTCTATAGGAAACTCTGTATTTTGCTCATGGTACTAATTACAGCAAACACAAAATTTCTATCAATTGGGTCTTACACTTGTTCGTTTCTCACATAAAATGGAATTTAGCTTTGTATTTAAAGAAAATTCATGCACCCATTGTAGTTTGGTATCTTTATTTGACAGGCAGTTTGCTTATGGCATGAGTGCTAGAGGAGGCTGGTTGAGAAAAATTTTAGAGGATGAACGCAAGTCAATGATTTCTACAAAAAATACTGATGCTGAGAGTAATAGATAGTAAGTCATTAGCATCAACACTATGCTATCATAGCTTCTCTACAGAATTGCTAACAAAATATTTTTAAAAATAAAAAAAGGAAAAGAAGGATGTTAAGAACTGTGGTAATTAATTTGTGTTATCTTGTTTAATCTCCTTGATATCCCTGTAATTCAGATGGGGTGGTTATACCTATTTTATAGATGAGGTATCTGAGATACAAGATTTTCAAAATGTGCTCAAGGTCTCAGAGAGTTAGAAGTAGACCAATTAGAACTCATGTTTATCAGGCTTCAAAATTTGTGGTCTATGTTATTATATTATACTGCAACTCTAGTATAGGTTTGTGTTTTTACTTGAATGACACCATATTCGATTAGAAAATGCTGTACACTTCCATAGTTCAAGTTCAAAGTTACTACTTTGAATAAAATCACTGAAACATTCCAGAAGTAGTAAGTTCAGTAAGCCAGGAAGTGAAAAGTAAACAAAGGAGGTACTGTTAGAAAAGAATAGACTGAGGTGCAAAGGGTTTTACATGGTATGTTAAGGACTTCAGGTTTTATCCTATAGACCAATGGTTCCCAGCTTCCAGTGTGCATCAGAATCCCCCAGGCCCTGTCCAGAGTTTCTGATCAACTTGTGGTTTCTATAATCAATGTGGGGCTAGAAAGGAAGAGGTCAGGGCTGACTCAAAGTCTTTAGCTTGAGAGGCAGGATAGATCATGATGTCACTAAATGAGATAAAGACCAGAAGAAGATGTGGATTTTATAGGGGAGAACTGACTAAAGTTTGTTTTAAACTTATTATACTTCACATGTTTTAAGGCAACCAGTGGAGATGACCAACGGGGAATTATAGGCATATCTGGAATTGAAGTGTGAGGTCAGGGGTAAAGATAATGACTTAAGAGTCAAATAACACAGAAATAGATGTCTGAGCTCTAGACATGGATATAAGATAAAACCCCAAATACCAATAAATGGATGGCTAATGAACATTTTGATTTTTCTCTTACCATCTGTAAAACAGGCCTCTGGCTCATCTGAATTTACAGGTTCGGCCTCCGCTTCTTCTCCTTCTCCTGGCAGAGGGTTATCAACTGTGCTGCACTCAGAGGAACTTGACCGATTCAATCTCTAAAAAGAAATTCACCACCCCACCAGACAGTTCATTTAGGGGTCATTCAAATCTTATATTCAAGCCATATTCAATAATCAAAGTCATGCAAAGTGTTATGAAAAAAGATTAACAGTATGATGGCCATAAAAACGTATAAACACATATTGAGGTCAGGTAACCTTATAATACATCTATGCTTGATCTTTCTATCTACACATCCTGTGAAAAATAAATTTTATTATTTTTAGTATGTTAACAAGTAAGTATTTAGACAGAATTAGCATAAGGTATTTTTTGTAAACTATAATATTTGCAAAGTATTGGCCACATTTTTATTGTTTTATGTTTAATATAAATTTGTGTACACCAATAATTATTATATTCAGATAACCAAGACCCTAGTAGAAATAATACAAGTGCCAAATTGCCAATGCCTGATACTTGAAAGATCATATATGACAGTTGGCAGAAAAGCTTGTTGATACTTAAAATTAAAAAAAAAAAAAAAAAGAAAGAAATTAGTGTAAAATGAAACCCAAACTTATTTGTTCTATTATCTCTTGGATTTAAGAATATGTACCAGGATGATATAGATAGAAGGCTTTTGATCAAGACAAAAAAAAGTCAGATATCATATTGGAATCAAAATGCCAAAGACCATAGTAATTATTTCATCCAACACCACCCATTTCAGTATAAAATTTCAGGACATAGTTGAAAAGATCATAAAGTATTATTTATACTGTCAAAAAACAGTGGCTACCAAAGTGAGTACCACATGCAAACTCTGAAACAAAGATTCAATGAAATTAAACATGGCAGACGCACACACGACAGGAATGAATTCATTGTCATTATGATCATATAGTTGATCATAACACAAGCTTTTCCCGCCCAGAAATTTATGATCAAACATGATGTTTACAAACATACACATACACAGAAATTTTTAGAAAAAATACATACAGCAATTGTAGCAAAACTCTGTCAATTTTTCCTAATATTGCTTTATAAGGGGTAGAGCAGCACATCAATGGAAGAGTTCATTTTTCATTCTCATTTGCTAAACGACATGTGAATATTGAAACTAGTAGTTATTACAGCAGATGCTTCCCTTATTAAGATTACAGCTTTACTATTTTTTTAGAATAGTTCCACAAATACAAGTGCTAAAAGTAAGGAAATCCTCATTTCCATTAAATTGATTCCTTAATCTATTAATTTGCATTAATATCATAGGCCTAATCTGAAATATTAATTTTTAGAGATTTACTGGGAAGCTAAAAGTGTTCTTTATGGGTACCACATTCTCAGTGCTATTATTATCGCACATTATTCAACATCAGTAAAAAAAGGCATTGATACATTATTGTACGTAAGGAATGATGTAAGCAAAGTTCTTTATAATGAGAGTAAAGAATTATGAATACTCTAATACTCATAATCAATATATTGACATCGGGGCATTCTTCCCACCAGGTCAAAGAGTTTTATAATAGTATCAGTTACGAACAGTATCCCTATGAAATGTCATTTGATTGAATTCATCTAAAATGACTTGAAAATAACGGAAATAGAAATTAATTATAAGACTGAATATATTTAAGGTTTTAAAATATACATTACTCCAAGAAGCAATGGGGAAATGTATAATTACTAATAGGCCCTACTGTGCCAATTACCACAAAAACTAATTTTGAGTATGTTATCTAAAAGACTACAGTTATCTGATGCCCTCAGTTCTTGACTTCTCAGCTGCATGTGGACTGTCACCAGGGAACTGAAAGACAACGTACTATGATTCTGTGGCGATGAGACCAAGACCTTCAAATGTGAAAAATGGGTTATTGCCCTGGATTTTGAGGCAAAGCAGTGGGAGAAACAGCTGACAGAAAGAATGCAAAGCACTTTCCTGCTAGTAGCCAAAATACTGACAACTAGCAAGTAGTTTTCATGGTTTCCTCTAAGGTGGCAACAATTTTTAACTAAAATGATTCTAATTTGCAGAATGCCTACTCAGCCTAAATTAATGAAAACATCTTCAACCTCAGTATTTGGTTTTCTCACTGAGCATTAACAAAGAGGATATGCCAACTTAATTTGTAAGCAAATAAAATGAAGATGATTTTATAAAGTATATCTTGTCATTTCTGAAACCTTTTATTTTCATAGCTTTTATGGCAATTTTTTGTCAATTAAATTCAGAGTTTGGCTCAAATTTTATATCATAAATGACAGTTATTCAAGATGATTCCTCATCAGAACAGACATTATCAAAATATTTAATATGAACTATCGTTTGTGTCATAAGCCAAATTGCTATGGCTTTTTAGAAATTCAAGTTAAAATGTTTTTAGGAATTCTATGTTTTCCTGGGGATGCATGAAGTATTCACAAAGTAGCTATTTTAGTACTGTATATAATATTAAACATTTATGTGCATGCCCTAGTGATGTAGACGGTTCAGTTCTAATCTATTCATCCTTTAAATTTAATATTTACTGAAGTGGAAGTTTCTTTAACAGGGTCCAAAAGGATGCTTTTAAGTAGAAAGGCTAACATCTATAATAAAAACTTTCTCTCAAAGGGAAGTGCATTTTATTCTCATAGCAGGTGTTGCTATATTTAACTACTGAATTTTCTTATTGCTTAGTACACAAAGATCAAGTCAATCATTAGAATCATTTTACAAAATAAATTATATGATTATTTTCATATCTATAAACTCAATCATTTGTAATTTAGTTTCCTTTCTTGTAACATTGAAAATTGAAGAATTATTATAGTACACTAAGACCAGTGAAATAAATACTTTGGTGTAAAAAATTTCCCTCTCAATATTACAAATATGTTATTTTGTAATTTTTGCATGGATTTTATTTTTAATAAAAAGTGAAATATACTTTTTTTTTTTAAAGATTTTATTTATTTATTTGAGAGAGAGAGAGAGGGAATGAGAGATGGAGAGCACGAGAGGGAAGAGGGTCAGAGGGAGAAGTAGGCTCCCAGTGGAGCAGGGAGCCCCATGCGGGGCTCGATCCCGGGACTCCAGGATCATGACCTGAGCCGAAGGCAGTCGCTTAACCAACTGAGCCACCCAGGTGCCCCGAAATATACTTTTTGTCTATTACATGGCAGCAAAGATTTTTTTTTTTTTTACCTTTGACAGCCTAATTTTTTTTAACCTTATATAGGCTATAAACATAGGATCATAGACCTAATTTCATTAGCATTAGGAATAAGAATATGCCATAGACAGCATTCCTGCTTTTTTATTGAATAATATGGTATTGCCTGTAGGTACTTTCTAAAATTTTGTCTTTGTTTCTTTTAGGCAAAATCTATACACTTGATTCAAAAATTTAAATGTATAAATAATATATGGTAAAAAACAAAAGTCCTTTCCACTCACTCCCTAATTCTATCACCTTGAGGTACCTACTATATACACAATATGTATGTATATGTATACACACACACACACACACACGTACATACACATATATATATCTTTCCATATTCTTCAGTGTGTATCCATAAAGCACTGAAGTAGTTTTGAAACATTCTAATCTTGATTATAAATGATAGCTATCTAAGAAGCCCCTTTCAACTACTGAAAATATGATCAGGTTAAGATGGTGGAGTAGTAGGACCTTATGTTTGCCTTGTCCCTTGAACACAGCTAGATAAATAGGAGATCATTCTGAACACCCAGGAAATTGATACGAGGACTGAGAGAACAACCTGCACAATTGGAGGGAGAGAGGAGACCACAAGGTGGAAGGTAGGCGGTGTGGCGATGTGATTTGGGGAGAGAAGGATCACAGGTGCTGCGGAGGGGAGGGAGCCCTGATCACAGAGCGCGTACAGAAAAACAGAGGGAGACAGACGGCAGTGCACAGGGGACTGCACAAGAAAAGCACTTCCCCAAAACCAGTGACTGGGAAAACAAGAAGGGTTGATTGTCGTGAGCTTTTACAACGAGTGGAGCTCAAAAACCAGAGTTTTACAAGTCTGCACCGTGGTCGGTGTAGAGTCTGGTGGGCACAGCAGGGCTCCTGTGGAGAAGGACAGGAGCCCGGGAGCACATGGCATGACTGGAGGATCCCCTGGGATGCACTGGAAGCGACAGTTTCCCCTTCTTGGTGTGCATCTGGGAAAGGTAGCATGACCTCTCAGGGGAAAAGAGAACCGGTGGATGTCATTGTGCTCCCATTCCTTAGCATAGGGGCAGAGACACCTGCTGAGGGGAGCTAACCTGGAGTCTGGGTTTTTGCTGTGCTTTACACTAAACTCCAGTCTCCTGTGTGTTAGTGTGACTGCCCGTCTGAGACAAACTGGCACCAGCCCCAGCACAGTGAGACCCTTCCCCAGAGGACCAGCGGCAGGTCTGTGCTACACCAGGTCCCTTAAGTTTGGAGTTTTGAAACTCAGCCAACGTGTCTTAGATAAAACACAGGTGTACTGCATTGCCGGGAGGAAAGGCAGCATGGATACCAACAAGGGGAAGCCAGGGATCTGAGGGAAGCCTAGGACAAGTGAGGGGAGATTGTTCACTCTTCTGTGAGGGCTTCCCGGACAGCGGTGGGCAGGAATGCCCCGTGCAAGATGAGCCATTTTTCGCCCCTGCCCATCAGCAGGCACTGACTTTAGAGAGCATAACAACACCAACAGTGGAGGCCTGAACCACTTACATCAGCCCCTGCCCCCTGTGCTCTGCAGGTGCCTCTTTACTAGGGTTAAGTGTGCCTGAGAACCAGAGCAGTGGGCCCCTCTCCCAGAAGACCAGCACAAATCCCGGCATGCACCAAGTCTACTGACCATAAAGTGCTGCAGAGCTTTGGCTCTAGTGGAAAGAGGATCTGGCCTCTTTTAACAAGCAGACCAGAGCACACCAATTTAAAACTCACCACACACTGGACAAGATCCAAACACACCCCACTGCAGGCAGGAAGTAACTCTGCAGAAGACTGACCTGAGGGAAAGAACAGCCAAAACAGAGAAGCAGAGTGCACACAGCATACAACAGAAACACTTCCTAAAGTGTCAGACCCTGGACAGTATGTGATCTCTTTTTCATAAAGCCATTACTCTCAGGAGCAGGAAACAGAAGAAGCTTTACTAATACACAGAAGAACACAGACACAGATTTTAAAACAACAATCATAAGGATACTAGCTGGGCTTGAGG